TGCTAAATTTACTAAATTTGCTAATTTCACTAGCTATTTTTGCTAGCTATTTTTGCTATCAACGTCCGGGGTCCCTGGCCTGGAGCTACTAAGACGTATTGTTTGACTTTGTTATTGTTATGAGTAAATGTTCGAAATAAACCTTCCGCCTCAGTCTTTCAGACAATTGTATTGTCAAATAAACTGTCCCACTACGTGCATCAAAAATTTTTGAGGTTCTCTCTTCTGCATAGTGTCGCATATTGGCCCATATGATTAATTTAGAATTATCCGGTGGTGAAATTCACCGGCCTAAGAATTTTTAGGGTTAGGGTATTAAGAAATTTTTTTTTTATAATATAAGGTCCCGATCTCAGTTCTCATGAGGTTTTCAGGGTTCTGAGCATTTTTACTTAGAGTATCCGATCCCGTTTACTTAGTACATTTTCGAGATACAGCACCCTCGGTGAATTTCACCTCTGGTGAGCGTTAAAATCGTCCTTTAAAACATCATTGTTTTTAGATAATATTTATATCCCATTTTTATTAGAGTTATGTAATTAAATTTATTCATTTATGAAATACCCCAAAATTTAAAAAATTTGACTATTAATATGTAAAATTTCCGTGTCTAATAAGATGCGTCGGGAGTGGGGAAGATGGATTAGACGCGTTATTGATTAATATGTTAATTTGGTAACTAAATGTTTGGATTTGGTGCCCAAATTTTTGCTTAATTTCATAAATTCGCCGTGATAATACAAAATTTAAAATTTGGATTCATACAAGAAAATTACTACGTACGTTTAACCGGGGGAAATTACCTCCCTTAATATTTTTAGGGTTAGGGTGCAGTTTTAAGAGATATATATAGGAGTTTTTTTATAATATATATTTGATTGAATTTTGCTTAAGATACCTGAAAATTACCCCCGGTTAAGATTAGCAGTAATTGCAATCCATGCGGATTGTCGATCATCCGTACAGATTCGTGTGCAATCTAATAAATCTAATATGTATGATGACTCATTAAATTTATTGTTTCATTGTGTTACATATAGCTTAAATGCATTGTTATTCTAAAATAGTAATGATCCTTTTTTCACATGTTTGTAATCCAAAGTTGTCCAATCATATTATTACAAATTTTAATCATGTGTATAGCATAATTCCAATTGACGTTGACGACATAAAAAATTACCGTTATTTCTTCGCGCCTTAAATGTCAATTTTTATATATATTTCGCCTTTTGCTCGTAAAGCTGTAAGAATATTTAGTGTAGGAATCAGAGCTTTCTGTACTATACACATTACAAATGAATACATAATAGAAATCACTCAGGTATATTCATTTACATTATCCTTATGAAAAGAAAGGCGCGTAAAGATCGTGATCAGAATCTCAATAAATGAATTTTACGCATTAAAGTGTCTAGGACCCTCAATGCTTCCAACTCTAAATATGGTTGGAGATTTTATTGCATTGGAACGCATAACTCATCGATTAAAACTTCTTGAAATCGGGGATGTGGTTGTTTGTGTTACTCCTACGGATCCTTGGAGATCAGTTTGTAAACGCATTTTAGGAATGGTAAGTTGAAATTTTTATTAAATTATTTATTATTTAATTTATAATAGTTAATTAATTTGCTTAGCCAGGGGACCGAGTGTGCATTGATCCAACAGCAGCCAATCGTAGATATATTACTGTAAGTGTTGCATTTTAAGCATTATTCTTTTTCTTTAAATCTCCATTCAATCCATATACAAATATCAGGTACCTTCTGGCCATATTTGGATACAAGGTGATAATATGAGTAATTCCACCGACTCTAGAAACTATGGCCCTGTACCTTATGCTTTAATCAAGGGAAGAGTATTTGCAAGAGTAAGTTTAAAATTTGTTCGTAAGTACATATATATATATTTCAAAGATTAAATAGCTCGTTTATTGTCATAGGTTTGGCCGAACCCTTGTTGGGTGAAGAACGGGCTTGTTTCGCTCGATGTTTTTAAATAAATTGGTGCTAATGACGGTAAATAAAGAACAATTATTTATACGGAACATATTAACTTAATGTCAGCCAACATTATTATTATATATATATATTTTTCTTGTATATACAGTATCGTGATATATATCGGTACTTCACTCTGAATAAATAGTAACGATATATACTCTGCCTCTAGTCGGTACATTAACAATTGATCCATGACAAATTCCTTTAACAAGTGTTGATAACACAATTCTCATTTAGATAACGAGTTTATATAATCTAAAAAAAAAAATTTTACGAGACAAGTTGGAGGAAAAAAAAAATAAAACAATTGAAAGCAAATCTGGATGCCTATCTACAAGAGTGTAATTAAAAGCCGAAAGTAGGAATTTAAGAGATACTATATCTAGAGTTTGCCTTTTGCAAGGTTGAGTCCAACAAACGTGTTGGTTTCTTGCACAAAAGCAAGGCATATTATTATCTTATACAATGTTCCATAAAGTCACATCTTTTGTTTTTAAATAGTTGTCAGAGGTATAATTGTATATGTTAAATACAATTATTTCAATAAAAAATTAAAGGTCACGAAGTTTTCATTTTGCCTTTATGATCCGCAGCGTTGGGTGTACCCCATCTGTGTCCAATTAAGAGACATGTCAATCAATATATTTAATAAAATCTAATAACCAGCAAGAAAAAACAAGAGTGAAAAAAAATTATTTAATTGAAACTTACAGCCGGATTGTATGATCATCTCCGGCGGATGCAAACATGTATGGATTAACGGGACTCCAATTAACGCTATTAACAGCTCCCTTATGACCAGACAGGATCTCGATCATCGTAGCATGTTCTCGATGCCACACGTAAATATTAGAGTCTGAAAAACACCAAAATCGTTCACTAAAAAGTGAACCACTAACATAAAATCATTGAACTTTTGTACAGACCTTCACTACCACTAACGATGAACCCTTGATCAATACCACCAAAACAAGACCGAATAACAAACTTTTCCTGTTTCTGGCCATAATATTTACGAACAATTCGTCTCTCTTCAATGTCCCATAGATGAATTTCCTATATTTTGAAAGCTTTTTTAAATAAAACATTTAAACATATTAAACAATGATAGATTCGATCATTCATACCCTTGTAGAGAGATTCACCAAAGCATATTTGCAATCACTTGACAAACAAATAGAGGTGAGCTTGGCATTTTCATCCATTATCCTAGATAAATTATATGGATCGAAATTAGATCTATTTGTTATACATTTCATTATATACATACATATGTATAAACTTAAAATTCGTACGCCTCTTCCTTTCTTGTTTCGATATTGTAAATATGAAGTTTTTCATCATGACAAATGGCTACCATTCTCGTTCCTTCTTTATTTATCGCCAAATCCATTATCCGGGCACCAGTCCAGGTATACAAAATTGTCCCATCCAAAGTCTATTCAAAAAATTGAAAAAAAATAAAATAAAAGTCAATTAAAGATAAGCATAATAAAAATTTTAAGTACCTTACCCATAAATGAGTATCTTTATCTTGACTACCGGATATGAAGCGTAGCCCATCCGGAAGCCATGCACAAGCAGTTACAGGGTAAAGATGTTTTTTCAGTGTGGTCAAACATTCTCCGGACTAATATATATATATATATATATAAAAAGATTTAATTATAAAAAGTGTGATACAATCATGATATCATGATACAATAATATATAATTTTAGTACTTCTACACTCCAAAGCTTTATCTCGTTGTCTTGTCCACATGTTAAGATTTTGGTATCATCTGGAGACCAAGATAAAAAAGAAACACAGTCCGTATGTGCTTTCAACTCATGCACGTAATCCAATGTCTAGTAAATTGGAATGAGCTTCAATTTCAAAAACATTTTGATAAAAATCATTAAAAAATAATTTCAATTGACGAAATTTACAATACCTCAAGACTCCATATGATTGCTGTCTTGTCCTTTGATGCTGATGCCAAAAATTTTCCGTTATTTGAGAATGCAACATACCAAACCTCGTCTTTATGTCGTTCAAATATATGAGTAGTTTTTGAAGGGAATTGTGACCTATGTATTTCAAATATATATTATGTGTGAAAATAAATTGTGAATATTTGAAACAATTCAAGAATATTGTTTACCTATCACAGACGTGATCAGAGTATAAAGAAATATATTTGTCAGAATTATGATATAGGCATGATATACGTTGTAAAGTTGTAGCCTGTTCAAGTAGAGATTCTAAACGATGCTCAGGTACCATTATTGAAGGAGATATGTATTCTTAAAGGAATAAATGAATAAATAAATTAATTAAATATTAGTAAATTGTATTTAAAATAAGAATTGAAAACTTTTTAATTCATACTTTGTATCTCCAACAATAATTTTTGACGCGAAGAGCCATTAGCCCCATCCCATTCAGCCCTACGCCTTAAATCTTCAGCATTAGAATACATTATAAAGCTATTTTGATGATAATATAAATGATATGAATTAGTAACTTTAACGCGTTAAAATACTTTATTAAATCATATACACATACCTAGATAACAAATGAAGTCTTTCTGTGTTGAATGCGAGAGGTGTAAGTTCACTTCTCAATGTATATAGAGCTAATTTTATCTCTCTTTTTTCTAGCAATTCCAAATATTTCTGTTGACGAATTAAAAATCGTACAATCTGAAAAAATTGTATAATATTATATTATATACATTAGAAGGTTTTTAAGAAGCAAAAATATATTAAAAAATCTCATGAAAATTACCACAATGTCTTGATTTTGATCTAGTTCTAACGTTGGGAAAAGACTTTCGACCAAATCCCAATCACCTTTTAACACGCCATCCCTGAATTTTGCGACAGCAGAACTTTCAAGTAGAAAGCCAGATTCTTTTTCAAGTTGAGAAGCAGATTTACTAAATAATAAAAGATAAAAATTAGTAATATGCGATCTATTTAGAATAAAAATCAAGACATTAATCATTACCTATAGCCCATATCTTGCATTGCTTGTACCATAAGCCGAACAAGCTCTTCTCGTCTAGGATTTTGTGGACTTGTAAGAGCTGAAACTTGACCATTAGTAATAATTTGAGAACTACCATTACTAGTGGTTGAAACACCGTTAGTGCTACTTCCAACACCATTTTCTTTCTTCGGAATCCTCATTTTTGGTTTTTTTCTAATGGAAGGTTTAGTAAGACGAGGACGCTTTGGGAAGCGTAAATCAGAATCAGAATCACTGGGTCGCGAATAATCGTTATCGACTTCGTCACGAGGGTGGTAGCCACTAGTTTGAGTTCGTGGCTCGTCCGCAGGAAAAGAAGAATTTGGGTAATTATTTTCGAACATGAACCAAAAGTTTTACGGTAGTATATTCTATTTAAATTATTTAGTAATGTGTGATATGATTTGTAGTAATGTGATTAGAACTTCGAATAGAATACGTTCGGTCAAATGACCAGCCTGACACTATTAAGTTGGGTTTGGTAACTAACCTGACAGTTTAGTCAGGTGAATTATCCGCTCAGCACGGCCTGATCTGTGAAGCTGTTCTAGTATCGACCATAAAAAAATTTAGCTACATCATAATTTAAGCTCATAATCGATAGCGAAGTTAACAGATTTTGCTGATCATACAAATCGTGAAAAAAATAGTTGAACTTTAAGGCTTTGATTATTTTTAATTTTGTACAGTTAAAATTTTACATGAAGAACCTTCAAATGCTAAAGAATAACAAACTCTTTGCGCAGAATTAAAATAACTTGCCACTGAATAAAGGCCGAGACGCAAATTTACAAAATTTACGTTTGAAATTATGAAATTTATAGATGTGTCGATCGTTTGACTATAGTGCAAAAATTTACCCGATCTGCGTGAAATCGCCGTGCAAGATACCCCCTTGATGGTACCCTCAAGGATTTATACCAAGTGCGTGGTGTTTTATGATATATACCCAAATACAAATCAATGATCGCAATAAAAAAAAAAAAATTTTTTCTAGTGGATAAATTTATACCGAAATTTGAGTCACGTGATATATGAAATACCCGGGTACTAGTGATATTTAAATTATCCGATGTGCCGTTTATTACGTAATTTTAAGAGGGAGTTAACAGTCTATCACGCCTATATGTTATTATATATATATATACGTTTTGATTGGCCGTTAACCCAATCATCTAGAGGGGAAGGAGTTTGGCCTTTTAATAAAAAGAATTACGTAATAAACAGCTCTTCACTTGTTTTTAGTATTTTGAAAGTCATGTGGTTTTCTTTTTTTAATTCCAAATATACATATATTTAAAGCTGAATTACTAGAAGATAGCCTGAGACATTTTCTCATAAGGTTTAGCGAAAAACTCAGCGTTAGTTTGACAAATCATTTAAGATGAATGCATGTGATGAGTAATGAGTGACATTTAATGACAATTATTAGATTGTTTCAATGATTAGTCATTTGCCTGATTGTTTGTTAAATATTAAGTAACTTGCAAATACGTAACATTAATTTTTATATAAAAGATTAAAGGTTCAGGAATTTGTAACTTTTGTTCATTTTAATTTCATACAAGGTATTAATAAAAGGTGATACGTATAAAAAAGATATTATTCATACAAGTCTAATACGATTACGTGGCTGAGTATATACACACACGAATCGAGACTGTTTCTTTTTAATAATGAAATCCAACTGTTTATCATGACTTTAAGTATCGGTATTGAGTCCCAAGTAACAGTCATTACCGTTACTAATTACAGAATTTGGGCATCACAGTATCTTAAAACCACGTGTTATATAATGTGCTAATAAATTAATCCTTGTCTATCGTAAAAATACATGATTTCGTCGATCGATTTTTCATTAATAAATAAAAATAAGGGTCGCCTTGCAGAGCAGAATCACGTGATGTTACACTGATCAAAATTATAGATCTTGACGATCCCAGCGAAGTAAAAACAAGAATGTTGGAAGGCAATTTTGCTTATATAAAAATATCTTGAACCCTAACCTAACTATAGGTTAAAATGACCCTAACCCTAAATTTATCTCAATAAGAATCTATATACTCCCGCTAGTAAGTCAGAGTCGGTTAATATTTTTTTACCTTCGGATTTATCGGAGATTTCATCAAATTTTTGCCGCGACCTTGCTCGTATTATACTATGTACCAAGAGAGGTAATGTATCGAATCTGATTGGCACTTTAATATAATCTAACATAAATCGACTAAGTCGATTTTTTGAAAAAATCGGCTGACTAAGTCGGCTAAGTCGATGAAAATCGACTATGCGAATTCGACTAACTCCCGCTTTAGACATCCCCTATAAATAGAACAATGTAGAATTTGTCGCGTGATATAATTGTTCTTCAGCTTCTGTCGCGTTTTTTCAAGACGTCTCAAATCTATTAATATTATTCATATGACTAGTTGATAATTTAACATGCAGCTAAAGATATAATAATTCTCATTGTTCCAATATCACTTTAAAACCGTTCGCTTGATTACTAAAGTTCTCCTGAGTCTGTACATCATTTTCACTTTATTACCTTTGTTCGGCAGTCACCAGAAGATACTATTAAACTGGAAGCTAACGATTAAGAATAAATTAGAGTCATTTTAAACCAGCAGGTTGAATATGAAGTATTTTTAACGCATCAACCAGCTAAGATATCATTTTCTAAACCCTGAATCTTATTGAAATAAGTGGACGCGTCAATAGGACGTTGTTTTGTAAGCATAGCGATAATGCACTTTAATGCAATAGAATTTAAATAGTGTTGCAATTTTAAGAATTTTATTATATTAATCACTTTTAATTGCCCGAAGCGTAGCAAAAATTCAGTTTTTTGATGATTTTTAATAAAATTTTCCGAATTTATCTGCAGGGTATGTTACCCGGTATGAGAAAAAAAAATACAACTTATAAAGTTAGTAGGTTAGGTTAAAGGTGTATTTATGAGCTGATTTTCTTAAAGATATTACCAAATTTTATTTTTCTTACACCGGTATCATACCTCCGGGCCGATCTTTAAAATTGACCAATCAGAATGATATTCGTATTATTAATTTCCCAAAAATTACGACAGAGATTCTCGATGAACATAGGATACAGACGGCCCTCCGGGCCGTATGATCATCGGAATCTCTGTTGTGATTTTTAACTCCTCACAGGAAATTCATGAATAATACCCTGCCCAGGGACATGGAATTTATGCGATAAGAATTTGTAAATTATGCGTGCGGTATGTGTAATATATGCGATTTGCTGATGATTAAAATTT